TCAAAGAAACTACAAGCATGTTTTTACCTTGAAATTAAGGAGCCGTGAAAAAGCAAAGCCATCTTCTGCTTTGCTGTCAACTGCATAAATGGTGTCTCCTATCTTTATGTATTCCTTTAATTCTACCTAGCAAGATGGAAGCCACAAAGAGAAACTTTGTTAATTACTTAAATTACTCTGTTTTCTCTAAGCTGTTGATGATGTACAGCTTTTCTCTACGCATCACATGTCATATATATACTTGCACATAAGCAGATGCTTTAGAATTTTTAAGAGAACTTAATTGTTTTAATTATTTGCCTTGATAAGGCATGAATCATAATGAAGAGTGCCAAAATTGCATCCCATGAGCTATTTATAAACCATGCTGTCCTGACAGCATACAAGAGCCAGCAGTACAGATTCTAGTTACACCAAATGGACTGCAATGATTCATCACAGTAGCTGTAATTTAGGAATTGCTTAAGTTAAAATGAAACAAATGCATTAGCACAGCAGTATAAAGGTTATTGCATTTGTGTATTTAGAAGTGCATTGTGCTATTCATTGTACTGTTAGTAGTTAGAGAGCAATAGCAGGCCTTATATTATACTGTGCAGTTAAGCACAAAAGCTGTGATACATTGTGATTTTAAAGGCAAATATCCTCTTTACTAGCTCCTGTATCTTGCATACAGACCGGTCTAAAATTATTAGTGTAGTACTCTGCTTGCAGGAACTTCTGCAGGTCTCCAACATTATTTAATGTTGCACTCATGCCAATGATTTGTGTCTTTTCTGTAAAACAGAAGTTGAGATGAATTTATTATCACATGACCAACTTTTAAGACATCTGTTAAGTATTAAAGTCATGAGACTCCTCCTTCATCGTTAGTCTTTTCAAAATGCCAAAGTAGCAGATTTGAAGGGAAAGGCTGCTACTAAAGAAACACTGTGAAATAATACTAAGTTACAAAATACTGAGACTTAAATGTGATAAAATAAGCATTTAAATAGACGCCTAAAGGACTCCTACAAAGAAATGGAAGACATTTGACAATACTCAGGATTTCACAACGAAGTATCAAAAGAGCTTCAAAAACACCCTAACATCATTACAGGGTCAATTAACACTTAAATGAGTAAATGCTGTTAATACATGGAGTCATGCCATGTTTTTCAAAAGCGGCCAAAATAGCACAAATCCAGAAAATGATGGTGGGACCTCTCTCAGAGAGGCCACAACTACAAAACGTTAATGACATTAACTGTAGCCATGACTTACTGCTGGTGTGAAGAACTTTTGCGAGAGTAATTTCCAGTATTGCTCCACGACTTCCCTCCCCAAGCATATGCAGCTGTGCACAGAAGGGAAAAAGAAAAGGTAAGAATGCTACTGAGTTGAGAGTTTTTCTAAAAAAACCCTCCAAAATATAGAGACCTAAAGAAATACTACAGAACTGACTTTGTTGGACTTCCTCGTGATATCTCTCGTGTAAATTTGGATTGTTAAGTTCAGATGTATAACCTCATTTAAAATGTATGAATCACAGAAAAACAAACTCATGGGTAAATGCAGACAAGATTTACCTTCCATTTAACTAGACCACAACTGACACAAACAGTTAACTCCTGACAGTAAACAATCACTGTGGGGATCTTTGTATTCACCAGTCTGAGGCAATCTTAAACAAAATGTGGTTTAAGCAACACTTAGAGTGACAACATTCCTAGCAGCCAGCTTCCAGAAAAAACAGAAGTTAGTGCTTCAGCTGCCCTCTGTTTAGAAGCTACGGTGCTAAAGTATGGTCAGTCAGCCTGAAGAATTCCATGAATTAAAATCCCTCTTAGATGTTATACACATTATTCAACTCCACAATCAACCCTTGGTAACACAACTCAGCTCTACCACTGGAAGAGGCAATTCTCACAGCCAAATGTTACTTGATATTTTTCTTTTTTGTCAATGTTTTACAGAATCATTAATACCAGACATAAAGTTTCATGGTTTCACATCTAAGCCTTAAATTCTAGGCTTCATAAAGTACATTCCATACAATTAAAATTCTTTATGCCTTTTTGCAATTCATTAGATACTTCTAAATGTCAAGCAGTTATGCAGGAATTCACCATCAACCACTACCACCACAGATCTCTCAATATGAATCTATTGCTCTAAAATAGCAATGCTTCATTGAAAAAAAACAAAACAAACTTTCAGAATTACAGAATTATGTACAATTATGTACAATTCAGAACACAGAAAATAAAAGTAATTTTCAGGGTGAACACTCTGAGCAAAACCAAGCAGGAAAAGAACTGCTCCTTCCTAAATAATTGCTTATTAGAGCCCTAAAAGAACTTGCATCTGATAAATCTGAGTACATCTTATGGCCTACCTCATCTACCACAACCAGGCCAAGGTCATGGATTCTTTCTGTTTCGATTAAGGAGTTCACCAGAGCGTGTCCTTTTTCTATAGTAGCAATATAAAGAGATTTTTTAACTCTCCTTTTGATTGGTGGAAATCGTCCTTTACTTCCTGCATATTCTTCAACCAGGAAACCCAATTCTATCCCAAAACTCGATAAACCCCTAACCTACAAAAGAAAATCAATTAGAGAACAAATTCATGCTCATTTTGGATTTCATTTTCCATTTTTTGGAGCTGCCTCAAGAACTCAACATACAGAAAACCGACCCATATCACAAGTTAGTGAAAACATATTAGCTAGGAATATCTATTCCAGCTACAGAACTGAAGTGTCTTGTCTACACATATTATGAAGTTTTATTTCATCTGTTCTCTAAAACTAGCTTTCCCTTTATAACAAAAAATGTTGGTTTTTAGTTCAAGACCACCTCTTCAGCAAGTTGAGTGTCACAGCTCTTAGGCTGCAGAACTAAACATCCCAAAAAGGCATTGTTTCAAAATTCAGCACCCTTTACTTCATAACTCAACATCTTCACCTCATGATTTGCGTCTGCTCCACTGCAAAATACTGACCCTCAGAGCAGCATTTCAGAGAGGTCACTCACTTCCCACCATATATTCACAAAAACCTTGCTGAAAACCAGGCAAGTGAGCAAGTAAACAAAGTGTATCAGGAAAGATTTATATAAAATTAAAGCAGTACCAGAAATACTGCAACCAGACCTTTTCTTGGACAATGGCAACATATGGCAGGATCATCAGAACATCCTTCTGCCTGCAGAGTAATTCTTGGAGAATTATTATTTCAGCGACAAGAGTTTTTCCACCACTGGTTGGCAATGAGTATATCAAGTTCTTCCTTTGCTGTAGGGATTCTAACATTAAGCAGTCATGCTGCCACTCTGCAAAACAAAAAGGGAACTATCAGCAACCCCAGGGGCATGTTGGTTGATACCAAAATTCCCGTGTTTCATTCAGAACACTTTGATCTCAGTGTTTGAGAGCTTTTCCTCAAAAAAGCACTTCAAGCTTTCAGTGATGGTGACTTCCATAGTCTTCTGTAATCCAGATGGATATCATCCACTCTTTCTATCCATCTAAAACACCAAGATAGCCACTTCCTAAAACAGGACAACTACTTTCTAACATGGTTAACATTAAGCATTGCCTTAAATATTTTTACAGTATAATGAGTGAAACAGACAACACTCCACTAGCAGTTATTTTCTTTTTCCCAACAGACCATTAGTTACACTACCATAAAGTGTTTCAATCCCTCGAAGTTGTCTGAATAAATCTTTAATCTTGCTAGATAATCCGTAAAAAGGGCCTATATCGACAGAAGAAGATTCAATAGCTTTCCTAGCCACAAAAATCTCTTCAGATAAAACAGCTTCTTTGAGCTGCTTGGACTTGGAGACCTGCAGCGTCTGGGCTCTAGCATTTCCAGTCATAGCACTTTTCAGGTGATCTTTGAGACTCTCAGTTTTAAATAAAACACATTTGGAGTCTGAGGAAGAGTCAGTAGGTCTGTTCCTGTGTTCAGCACCAGCATAAAAAGACAATGGGTCCCTAATTTTGTCTGAGAAAGAATTCACATGTTCATCCCTCCCTTTTGAGACTGGAGATGTTCTAGAAGCAGAAGAAAGTTCATTCATTTTTTCAAAATACACAAGTTGTGATGATGGCAAGTCATCTAAAACAGACTCAGTTAATTCTTGATTGCTGTCAGCTGGGTTATTGTTACACATTTGGCAAGCACCCTCTTTGTCACTTTTAAGGACAACCACATTTTCTGAAGCAGAAAAGTTATCTTGCTCTTTCTGGTGAACTCCTGACTTCAGGTTCCCAAGTATGATCTCTCCATCTGCTTTCACATCCATGTTTTTATCATGCAGGTATTTGTCTTCAATATCATCCACTTGAGCCATCAATGAATCGTTTCCATAAAAGCTGTCGTAATCACCGAACATATCCTCCTCGCTATCATGACTGCACTGCAAAAACGAAACAGAAGTTATCAACCCCCTGAGGCAACACCACAGAATGCAGAACATCTTGCAGAGCACAAGTATCAGAGCCGATTCACCTAAGTCTGTCCCAACTTGACACAAGAGCATTTTGTCTGCTGTCGTCTGTAAGGAAAACCCAGCTTGGGTTCTGAAGGAATGCCTTGACAGAGTGAAACAGATATCCAACAAGCAGGAGAATACGCGTGCAGAGAGAAGACAGAGATGATTTTTTTTAAAGCTAAAACCAAACGGCATCATACCCCCTCATACAAAGTACAGCCCTTCCCGACACACTCCACCCTCCCAGACGGGAGCTTCCCCGCCTCACCACCAGCTCCAGGATCCCGCCATCCCCTACCGGGGCCTCCGCCGGGGGTCCCTCGCCACCAGAGCTCGGTCTCTTGCAAGCCACCGGCGAGCTGGCGGCGATGGGCTGCGCCGGGGCCCGGCTCCGCTTGCGCTCCGAGATGGAGCGGTTCCTCCTCCGCACGGCGAGCTTGGGCTCCGCCATGGCCGGGCTGCGCGGAGGCGGCGCGGGGCCCTCACGGCCGCGGAGGGACACGGGGAGAAGCCGCCATGGCGGGAGCAGGAACTTCCCGGCAGCAGCCGAGTGGGGAAGCACGTGACCGGATCTTGGCCAATCGCTCGCCCTCAGTCGGAAACGCCGCGCTTCTATTGGCCAGCAGGCGGCCGGCGGCAGTGACGTCAGAGCGGAAGTGGCGGTGCGGGCTGTCATGGCGG